AACGACTTTTTGGATACCCTGTATATGTTAACTAGTAGAGCCCTGCGGTTTCGGTTAGCAAAATCGAAAAAAAAAGCGGTTCCTAAAATTTTTGTTAGGAACCGACGTTTTCATCATAACATACAAAATACCGAGTAATTGAGTTTTTTTTAGAAATTTCTACATTTTATCTTCGAGACTCTTCATGTTTATTATTTCATCAAATAAGTAGCTCCTTCAAAAGATAGAAGAAAAAGTCAAATAATGAGATAAAACACTAACATACAATATATTCATATGAAATCTTAATATTTCAAGTTCTAAAAAATCCCTGCTTCATCATTTCCTTATCCTCACAATGATCATGATCACAAAGAACAATATCATCTTCGTTATTCATTCTAAACGTCTTTTTATTGTCATAGTTGTAGATTGTTATTTAGTTTAGACAGGAGATTGTAGAAGATGCTTGTTCAAACATCTTTCTTTTCGTTTCAGTTCTATCAACTTCATCGATTTTTCTCATCATATGATTTTAATAATGCTAAATTTTTCTGAAAAAATAATAATAGAAATATTTTTCTGAACCAAGATCGATGTGCTTATCGATATTTGTGTTTTTTGCAGACAAGAACAGTCCTTCTACAATGATGTTCGATGTTTGTACAGCATAAAAATCTTCAGCTATAGAAAATACGATTGGTAATTTTAAATTCTGTTGTCATGGAATCATAAAACATCATCATGTCCATTGAGTGGGACATTTGATGGCATATATTCATCTAATTCATATAGCGTTGTTGACAACGTTAAGAAATTTTGTGGTATATGAAAACAGTATGACAGAAGACCTTTTGATGTTGTCGATTGAAAATCAAGTGAATTTGTATGAACAGATGATGGAGTAGTAGATAGTATTGTTGTCTGCCGTTTAATAATTTCCATTTTAACTGACTTTAGAACTTTTTCTTGAAAACCAGGATTACTATGAAAACTTTTCATGGATAAACGAAGAGGGGTACTGATATAATGTGCATCTTGCAGCATCTACACATTTTGAAATTCTCACCCTCAAGAAAAATTTTGGGTTCGGGTAGGAGAAACAGAAAAATCCAGTTCTCGGTTCCAAACACAGGGCTCTATTAACTAGTGACACCTATACCAATGTGTAACTTTCCTCTAGGTTGCTCGCAGAAACGATACGATATTTTATACAAAAAGAAAATGAAAACTTTTCATCTTTTTTTTTGTGGTTTTTATTGATGTTCATAAGGTATTTTATCAAATGGTTTATTTAAAAATTTAACATCTATTTTAATTGTACTATTTTGTTTTCGAGATCATGTCAAAAAAACAATCAAAACAAATTATACCAGAAAAAAAAGATCAATCTAAACGTTCATCATCAACTCGATCTCGTCTTGTTTTCGAAGAACCACATATATTTCGTGTTAAAAGTGAACGTTCTCTTCCACAGTTACAAGAAACACGTGAATTTCTTCCATGTGTTGCTTGTTTAAAAGAAGCTAATCGACGACAAGAAACATTCAATCGACCACATTCATCCTATACACATCAACAATTAACTCGACCACGATCATCTGAACCACGACCATCAACAGGAATAGAAAAGAAACATTGTCCTGCACCACCAACACCTGCTAATTTAGAACGATTAAGTCGACCAAAAACATTTTCACCAGAACAAATATCAAATAATTATAATTGGAATAATTTTATTCAGAAAAAAAGTAAATATGGTATGAAAAAAAAAGAAGAAGAAATATTCATATAAAGTTCGAAATTCTAATAAATATTTTATTTTTTAGCTATTAAAACACCTTATGCTCAATGTAATGTAACATATAATCAAGAGAATTCAGAAATTCGTCCACCATTTGTTAA